TCCTGCTTTACAACGTGCAGCTCTGTAGGTAAAGCTTTCCAGAATACAGAAGAACCCAGTGAGGAGGCGGGCAAGTGGTCTTAAAATCTTGCAGCTGTGTCTTGAAACTCTCAGAATTAAACAGTTTTACAGGCAGTCTTCACACTTACTGTTCTAATGCCTGACCTCAACACTCTCTAACGACTTTTCTGGAACCTAAGGAGGCTCATAAGTGTAGTTCCTTTGCAGATTTTGGGAGAGGGGAGGGAGCAACAAATCTTTAGGGGTTTTATACTTATATTCCCAATTGCTGAGCTGAAGAATAGAAGCAAATGCATAGCTTGCTGTGCCATGGGGTGAAATGGCCTGTGTGTGCAGTTTTGGGTTGATCAAGAGCTGTCGCTGGGAGCTGAGTGGTTATTGTAACACACGTGCTTTATCCCCATGTAGCAGTGATGTAGAGATGTGTAGGGACTGGTGGACATTTAATGAGCTCTTTCTCTTTTCACCTTGTGTTTGTACATGCATATGTTCTTGCCTCTGTTAAAGCTGAAGAATAAGAGGTTTGTTGTTTCAAGGAATTTGCTTTTCCCAGAAGAAGATGCATAATGTCAGAGCAAATGTAGCATTGAAATGCAGATAAGTCCCAGGTTCTGGATGGGACTTTGAATTTAAATGACACGAGAGCTGTTTTGTAATGGGTCTGCTATGAACATCACTTTAATGTAAATGCAAAATGGGCTCTCCATTACCCAATATTTATAGATTTGGAGCAGATGGGATGAAGAATATACTGCTACTTCTAGGAATAATTACTCAATGCAAGTTTTCTAGAAGAAAATGTCTGCTTCAGGTTGAACAGTTGCTTAGTTCCCTTTATTAGGTGGAATGTCTTTGAATCTAAATCTCATAAGTAAGTAGCTGAAGAGGAAAGCTGAAATAAAGCTGTAGAGACTTGGAGCAAGATAAACTGGAAGGTTGCAAAACTCAGTAACTCGTAGTGGGTAAATCTGCTTTCCATTTTGTCTCAAAAATGTATTATCTTGAAATGACACTTGGAAGCACACATCAGTCTCTGATCACACCTGCAAATTAGAGCAATGAAAGGCTTTCTGCTTCTGGGGAAATTAAATAAGCAAGGATTCAATAGAGTGGAAGTGTATGAATGTGTATGCAAGAACTGTTTGCCTCGTGTTCTTATAAATAAACCCAGATCTTCATGGTAAGCCTGTGTGATTCATAGTAAAAACGGAGTCTGAACTCCTAGGTGAGGAGGTGGTGCTCCTGTATTGGGAGGGATTATTAGTGTCCAGAGAAATTTGACAGCGTTGCTCTTACTCAGGACCAAATACTTCTAAATTGCCTAGCCCTCAATGGTTTTGGCTTTCACAGACAAGTTCATAGATGATTTGGACATAGATGGTTGGAAAGGCAGCTTTGCTCTCCCTTCTTTAACATACAGTCAGAGAAAAGGGCACTTCAGAAGCACTTCGTTGCCATAGAGTAGGGCTTGTTGGGGTCTCTGTAGGTAGTTTCTCCTACGCCTTAGGAGACTGTCAGACTTTTGAGGAGGCCTTGAAGTAAACTTAGTATCTGCGTACGATACTGATTGGGAAGTTTTGGTGCATCCTGGTTTCCTGGTTCAGTACAAGAATCTGCAGTTCTGTGGACTTTTATTCTGGCATTTGCTTCTCTACTGAGCTGGAGGAGTGTGGGCAAGTGGTGCTCCTGACTGTGGGTATTGATCTTCTGACTTGCTCTCAGACTTGAATAGCAGAGATGTTAACTGCATTGTGTGACCACTTCAGACAGAGGATACTGGGAGAGTACTGGGAAAGAGCAGGAGGTGGGGAGAAGGGGAATGGGATGGATTCTTCTTTCAGAGGAGTAGAAAACAGTTGTGTCTGAAGGAATCAGCTGAAATTGTCTGCCAAGGACCTTTTATTGCTATCATACTTGTGCAGCTTTGGAGTGCTGAGCTGATAATTCATCCTGCAGCTACACCAGTGGTGCAAGGGCAGGGGAGCTAACGTCACTATAGGCTTGGGGTGGGTGAAAACACCCTGTTTGGGAGCAGCAGTCTTAGATTTGCTTGTGCCAAGCATGACATTGCACCTTCAGGCACACCAGTGGAAAGAGGGGTGCCTGCCCAGATTGTAGAAATTCGAAGGGTTGGGAATAAAAATAGTAGGTCTGTGTAGATAGGGATGTTCAAAGTGTTTTATTTTTAAAGAATAAATATGTCCCTACTTTCTGGCCCCTTATTTGCAGCCCTACCAGCCTGCACAGACCTTTGTGCTCATGTAGATTCCTGTTAGGCTCTGGAATGAATGGAAATGAGCCACCTGAGGGTCTCTCGCTGTGGAATTAGGGCTTTCTGCAGTACAGGCAAGCTGATGAATGAAACATGCATTGGAAAACTCAGGTGAAATTGTATTAGATCCATCACCCCCCTTTCAGACTACTCTGTCTGCATTTAAATAGGGACAGGCTCTGCATTCTGCATGTGGCAGTGGAAATGGACTGCACATCTCTGGTGTGCAAGCTGAAATCCTTGGATGTACCTTAGCATGTAGCACCTTCCTGCTTCACCTTCTGAGGTGAAGCGCCTACATCTCTCGTAGATCACTTGGGCTGGGTGATTGAAACAGGAGGTTCTATTTCTCCTGTGTTCTACAGAACAAGCTTCTAGCAGTGTTTCCTCTAGCCCTAACTACTGATCAGTCAGCAATGCTGGTTTGCATGAGATTCAAATCTGAGTAAGGTTTCAGGGTTGCCGCCTTGGCTTCTCTTTAAAGACAAGACAATTCAACATCATAACTACTGTTAAAGTAAAAGGCTTCTACAATGTTTTTATTGGTTTTTGGCGCTGTTGCTGCACTCTGAGAAAAATATTACAAATCCAATGAAAAAAGGCAGAAGAGAATTGGCTATTTAAGTTTTTCCTTGAATTAGCATTGAAAGTGGCATCCTTCCAGGGAAAGTGTTGCAAAGGGAATAGCAGTAGGCATATTCTGAACAAAGGAAGGAAAGGTTGGCTCTGCAGAGCTGGTGGTAACTGGTTTTAATGTTTCAAATCAGTAGTGAGTAGTTACAAAACAAATGAGAGTTTACTGTTAACCTTGAAGATGAAACGTCAGTTTACTTTGGACCCTGCTAAACTCGATCAAAGCTTGCAGCGTGCAGCGCGAGCACCTTTGACACATCAGGCCCATTGGTTTAAGAGCATTTGAACTGCAGAGTTGCACTTAATTGCATATGTGTGTTCTTCACCATTAGTAGCTCAAAATACGTTTGTGCAAACATGCATGTTAAAACACTGACATTGATTAAACCCAGACTCTTAATTGCTCTGTTCTGGCCATTTTTTCTTTAACTCATTCAATACTTGAAGACTTTGCCCAAGCTGAGTTCTTCTCTCAGTGTTTGTATTTGATTTGCCTTTACTTAATGTGAATTTCTGTTGCACAGAATTGGCCTTGGGATTTTTTTGTCCTGGTTAGCAGGCTTTAAAACAAGAAGTGAGGTCTCTGACATCACATGCCTTTGCTTAGGAGACATTAAGAAACATTAAGCAGGTACAGAGGCAGTGGGGGCTAATTGAATGTTACAGCTCAAGCTCTTTGGCCAGTTTTCATTTGATCTTTAACTTGGGTTTTACCATGGAGAAAAGGAATTGATTAACACTTTGGCCATGTCAAGGTGTCATGTGAATTGCTCATTCAACAGCTCAGAGATATGAGGCACCAGATAAAGGGGAGGCTGAGCTTGTGCAGTCAGTATCTTGTCTGTTATTACTTTGCCAGTCAGCACTTGTAGCAGCAGTTCATGGTTCAGCTTCCACTTTATTAATATTCTTAAGAGGAGTATTTTTATTTTGGAAACAATTGCTTGTAGAATTTATTTTTTCCTTATGTTCTCAGTTTTGTTGCTCATTGATTTTGGTAAAGCCTTGTTTGACTTTCAGCATTTTTAATCTTGGTGTCGCGTGTGCCTGCCTGGCTGTTTGTTCCAGGAAAATAGTGATCTCTGCCTTGAGGTACCATTCTGCCTCCCTTAAACTTTGTCTTGTTGCTCCTGAGACCATACTGCCTGACTAGAAGTCTGCCTTTGTAGCTTGTATTTCTCCTGCCTCTGGATTTCCTTTGAGTTGCAGAGGTTAAACCGATGTTGCAGTCTCTCTTGTGGCTTTCATCTAAAGTGGGAGACAAATGAAGAGCAGTGGAGCTTCTGTGCCCCGTGATACACTGGTTTCTACTGGGAAACTTAGCACTGACTGTACAGGTCTTACTCAGATCTGTAGCATTCGTTAGATAGTGGGGTTTTTGTTTTGACTTGGGTTGGGTTTTTTCCCCGCGGTATCACTACAGTTTTTAACAGCACTCTGCTTAATGTTTATGTGGCTTTTAAAATCAGAAAATTAGTGGGTTGAGTAGATGTGTCTTGTTAAGCTGGTATTTTAATCACAGGATCGAAAATGGCACAGTTTTGTATGGAGTTTGAAGTCATTTAACAGAAACTAAGGAAATACCCTGCTGAAATACAGATTACCTCCATCAGGTGCTGTCACCAGGCCTCCTAACTCATATTTATCTCATCTCATTGGAGAAGAGTTCCCTGTGCTCTCAGTGAACTAATGTAGAGGCAGATTTCAGTTTCCTGAGTGACATGAGCAGCCTCCAACCTGCATTTGGTGCAAAGTGTCCAACCTGAGCAGATCAGACATGAAATACTGAATTAATGGTGTTGGGCACAGTGGCAGCACTGGTCCATCTGGGTTGTGGCAGTGTTAGCTATGGGGTATTGATAAAGGTAGATGTAGAGTTTCCAAATACAAGTGCCTTACCTTCTTGTTAATTGTGCTCTTTGGTTACTACTTAACTGTGGAATGAGGTAGCACTGTGTTACTGTGTAGTTTCAGAGGACATTTAAACCTATGTTTTGATATAGAGTATTTTAAAGGCTGGTTGTGTGAAGGTAACTGAGAGATGGTTTCTTTTGAGTTGATATACCTTGGAATTCTGTAGGCTATTTGGAGAGGGGGGAAGTTGTGAAGGAAAAAGGGGAAATACATGGGGCTGTTAGTAGGTGGGAACATTTTACTATGGAAGTGATCTTTGCAAGGGGGAAGATGTATGATCAGTTTAAATATGTCTGTGAGAGGCACTGAAAGAGTTGAGCTTTGCATGAATTCAGCCACATAACGTGAACAAAAAAAAATCCACCTGTATTTATATCTGATGTCTTCCAATTTTTTCTCTCTCCGTATCTGTTGTAGTTCCTTCAGAAACAGGTAACTTTCTTGGCAGTCACTCTGTGTCTCTGCATTTTGCCTTTCATACTGCTTTTCTTACCATAATATATAACAGAAACTTACTATCTTTGCTCGCACATTTATGGCACTGTAAAACATGCATGTGTAACTTCCCAGAATCGCTTAAGAGTATCTTGCAGTTAGTTGATGACTTCTCACCCTTGCTTTTTACCTGTTCTGAGCAGTTGAAAACGCAGGGATTGGGACTGTGCATCAGCACGTAGGTAGTACGATGATACAATGACTGTTTCAGCACAGTTAACAAGTAATCCCAGAAAGTGCCTGCTAAAGGCATCATGTTTAGTGATGAGTTAAAATACAGTCTCAGTTGAAAGTGTGACCTCCAGCTGTGTTGGTGCTATCCCAGACCACGACATCACACAGAGTGATGGAAGCAGGTTTATGGAATTCCACGTGAGCCCTAACAGTGTTGTGCCTCCTTAGGTGTCCTCCCTCCCTTTGCCTTTCTTTTCTTGTTTTACTGATTCTTTTGTATTTGAAATGAATGATGAGCTAATAAACTCTTTATTTTTCATCTATCTTCTATAACATTTTGTTTCATCTGAGCTTATTAACGATGCTTAATCCCTTACCCATCGTTGGTCTTTGTGTTGAGTGAGCATTTCATGAGACGGTGCTGAATGTCATTAGGCAGTCTGAGCACAGTTCACGTTTATGACAGATCATAGCAATGTATGTGCAGAACCTCACTGTGAAATTGGGTAAAACAGGAATAAGAAGCTATGTCAGCAGTCTCTTGTGCTTGTTTAAAAACTGTAACATCAGTGGCCAGCTTCATATGTTCTAAATTCTTTTCATGATGGCTTTAAAGTTCATTTGCCTTAGTAAGATCTTTATATCTTGCCAAAAGTTAATTTAAGCCACATTCTTCCGTATCTGGCACTGCCTGTTGGCTTGGTCTCATCTTCTCTAAAGGTCTGAAATGTTTACTCCTTATTGTAGCGGTAGAATGATAATAGGAAATTATAGATTGAAGGCTTACATATTTTAGGCTTATTTAGTTATTTATAAGCTTACAACAAGCTTACTTTGTTTTTAAAGTTCCTTCTCTTGAAGTGTGGCAGCTCTGAGATGTGGTTGCTCACAAATACAAAGCTTGGCTTCCTCGATGAATGGCTCTGTGCATTTTTTACAGCACTTCAATATTGTAGTATTACTCCTTCCTAAGTCTGGTTTGAATGAACGTGAACAAGTGAAAATCAAAGCTCACGATCTTTATTTTTTTTATAAACAAGAGCAGACCCTTTCTGCTTATTTATTTTCATATGTTATTGAGAACCACTATGAGGGTGCTGAGGCGCTGGCACAGGGTGCCCAGAGAAGCTGTGGCTGCCCCATCCCTGGCAGTGTTCAAGGCCAGGTTGGACACAGGGGCTTGGAGCAACCTGCTCTAGTGGAAGGTGTCCCTGCCCGTGGCAGGGGTTGGAGCTGGAGGAGCTTTAAGGAGCTCAAACCAGGCTGGGATTCTGTGATTCTATGAACCAAGAGGTAGAGAGTTTCTGACTCTTGCTGTGGGATTTGGATAAGCTGCTACTTGAAAAAGCTCTTGCAGGCAGGAAAACATCTCTGTTCACCTCACAGTGAATGGTGCACCAGCCTAATGGATAATTGAATTGTACTGCAAAGGGAGTAGAAGCGTGTGCGTGCATGCTGCTGTGTTGAGGAGTTGTGGAAATAGAAGAAACTCAGATGTTTGAAGAGAAAGTTGTAATTTACCCATTTAGGGAATGGGGTTGGGTTTGCACTTGTGCTTTTTTGACATTTGCATAGTATGTTAGTGTGCAGTTGTCTGGGCTGATTGAAAAAGTGCATTCGACAAGGCTTGGGTTTTCTAGAGGAATGGGGATCCTCAGGTAGTCATCTGCTTTTGTACAAACCTGTAGTTTGTGTACTACACTTTGAAATAACTGGGAGGAATTACTGCTATTTTTTAATGTATTAGAATTGAGTCTGTGCTTTCATAGCTATCCTAAGTATTAAGTACCTTTCTGATGTAGTCCCGTTGTGTGCCACAACTACAAGAGAAGGTGAATGATATTTAATGTGCCTGTGATTCAGCTGCATTTGGTTGTTCCTCAGATAAACTAGTGTGTATGTCTTCCTGTACATAACCACATTAATTTCACCCTCGTCCCTCCCCACTCCATTGTAGATGCTTTTACTGATTCAGCCATCAGTGCTAAAGTCAATGGTGAACACAAGGAAAAGGATCTTGAACCATGGGATGGAGGAGAGACCACCGCTACGGAGGAGCTTGAGGCATTAGAGACAGATGTTGTAAGTAATGCTTTTTATTGTCTGTGGCAGTGTGCAGATCAGCTAGTTCCCTGGACATGCCTTGCAACAATTCCTTAATCTTAATCTAGTAATGAACTTTGGACTAAAATTGCTGCCTCCATTGTACGGGTGGATGTTCAGTCTTTGCTGGCAGCTGCCACAGTAGTTTTTTACCATTTGAATAAGAATAGCTGGATTTCAAGTGCCAGTTTTGGCAAATATTGACAAATGGCAGCTGCTGTGGTAAGGGATATGTTTGACTCATGGACTGGCTGAAAGAGGAGCTTTGATTTAGGGCTCCAAATTCAGCAATACACTGAAGTGAGTTATGTTTAATCAGAGCATTCCTGTCTGACTATCACTGCATTTGGAAATTATGGCGAAATTGTGCTTAGCTAACTGTCTCTGAGCTAAGATCAAGGAAATTGATGGGAGTCTGACCCATGACTTAATAAGCACAGATGCAATCTCGGTAGATTATGAATCGTTAGGTGAAGAGTATGGTCTCAAATGACATTTCCTTATACACCATAGCAGTCAGCTCTTACTCAACCATCCATTCTTTTCAGTAAAGTATTCAGACTGCAATATGTTAAAGAAGATAATATTTCTGATTAGAGGAGAATCTACTCATGTTACTGTAGCACATCTTAACTTTGGGTAGAACAGTTATCCTGTCAATTTTAGTGTACATATTGTACAGCTGAGATTTATTAGAATACTTAAGACTGTCAGTGCTTTTATAAAACATTCACAACGTTTATCATTGTGCTTTGAGTGCTGTAATAGCAATTTTACTAAAGTGGGGAAGTTGTGCAGATCAACAGGGGTGTTCTGCCTGTGGGGTGTGTGGCTCACATAATTGCATTAGTAGTGCCTTTGAAAAGCTTGAGCATTTGCCACAGCAAAGGACACTTCTAACGTTCAGAAGTGTCAGTTTGCACTTGTGGAAAAGGCATTCATCTATGTATTTCCTGCTAGCCAGTAATCTTCTAGTACCAGAGTGAGCGTGGTACTTAAAACCCATTATAAAAAAGAACACAAAACCACACAACAAACAAAAAAACCTGGCTTTTGAAGGTAAAATCTGTGCATCTGGTGAACAAATGTCTCTGAAATAAATTGTGGCTTTAGTAACTTTGCTATCTGGACAGTGAATTCATAGGCCCAAAGAAAAGGGCAAAAGGTTTAACTTCTGCCATCAGCCCTTGATTTTGAGGGAATGTGTTTCCAGTGTCATTTTGAAAAACAAACATCATTTTCTTCTAGTCTAATGGATGGGATCCCAATGACATGTTTCGTTACAATGAAGAAAATTATGGTGTAGTATCAACTTATGACAGCAGTTTATCTTCTTATACGTAAGTTCCAAAATATTTTGTTATTAGATTTGTATTTAATGTTCTCCCTGCTTCAACAAACCGTGTATTCTGCAGATAATTTTGCATACTTTCTAAAGCTGTGGAATCGAGTAACTGAAAAAGCAATGAATGAATAGTGCTTAAGAAACCTTGCCAGCCTTCTGTGAATAGTTAGATGTAGTAATCATTATATATTCCCTTAAATGGGCACAAGTCCTTCCCATTGCAACATTTTCTGAAGTTAGGCATGCAGTAATACTTGTTTCTTACAAAAACCTTTATGAAGAAAGTGGAAAATACCAAACTGTGAAACTGTCTTTGCATAGATGCTGTGTCTATAGTTTGTGTTTAACCTAACGGAGCAGTTTCACTAAATCCTGATTTTATTGAGCCAGTCGATCTGGATGATGTTGGAATGTTGCTGATGACTGAGAGGGGGTTGTGTGCTGTGGGTTACTTTTCAGCAGACTTGTCCAGATCTAAACTAAAGTTTTAGTTACAATATAATAACAACTTGAATATAGAAGTAGTACAAAGCTTGCTCTGGCTACTTTGGCAGCGTGGACCTGTTCCCAATAGTCTGCAGCTATAATGTTAACTGCAACTGCAAACCAAATCAATTGCAGATGTTCAGCAAGCCATTGTGAAATGTCTTTAATGTTTTCCCACTCTTTTAACCCCCAAAGTGTAAACTTACTTTTGAATGGCAAGGAATTGCAGGGAATGTTTTGATTTTTATTTGTCTGCAGGTCTCTGGTTCAACAGTTTTATTTCTACTATTTTGTTCAAATAGACCTGTGACATGGTGATAATCAAAGTGCTTTAATCGGCTTATGTTTGAATCCTGGAGAAGCTGTTCTTTCATATACTTCACTGCTCTAAGTACTTTTTGTACTTTTGAACTTTAGTCTTCCATCTTTCTGCTTTATGGATATTAATGGAAAGAGATTAAAACCATGAAGGTGGCTTTAAGTTAATTCCATTGTTTCCTAGTCAAGCAACTTGCTCTGCATCTCAGGCTGCTAAACTGGGAAGCTCTTTTCCTGGTTCTCCCAAGTATGCGACAAGCAGCGGCGTAGCTAAATGCTTATATGTGCAGCTGAGGGATTGTAAAGGATTTGTTGTTTGATTGTTTTCTCTTCCTAGAGCTGAGCAGGTATAGTTTGTTAAACTGCATGAAGGTAAAGTTTGTGTTCTAGCAAGTGTACTGCATCGGTATGTTCATCAGCTGCTGTACATGCTTTTCTCATCACTGGGGTTCGGAACAATTTTTCCCTATTAGAAAACATAAATCCATATGTTCTATCATGAATTCTTTTGCTTGGTTGGGTTGACATCCCTGCTCCCACACATCCCTTCGTTTTTTTCAGTCACTTTAAATAAATGAGGATCCACTGGGGGTTCTCCTTTCTTATGTATATGCTTAATACAGGGCAAGTGAGGCCCATGACTTCAGGTTTGTATGCCTTGTGTTCATGCATAGCTTATTTGAGCCAAAGCTTTATGCTGAAGGGTAAGGCTTTTATTTCATATCCTTGCACTTCCCATTGATAAGGCCAGCAGATGACTGGGCAAAAGCGTGTGAGGAAAAACTTGTGATGCAGTAGCTGAGTGCTGGCTTGGATTTGGCAAAGCCACTTGTTTTCCTGGTTGTGCCACCAACACTTGAGTAATCTTGCATATATTAGTTCATACTTGGCTTGTGTCTCCACCTACTTTCTTTGTTCTTTTTTTATATTATTCAAAATATGTGCAGTCGTGGTTATATAATGCCCAGCATAGCATGGTCCAAGCCTCAGCTGTGTTGTCTATTTTTGTGTAGTTTATTCTAAATTAAGGTTGGATGAAACGACTTTTGGAACTCAAAATTAGCATCGGGGACAAAGCGTAAAGTTGCTTTATAAAGCCTGATACTTAAGCACAAATTAGGTAAAAACCAAAACGATGGATGGACAGAAGGAGTTGCAGGGTATGATGTCCATCCCTCCTTATCTCTCAGTATTTCATTGCTTGTGTATTTAATTCTTGGTGGCTTTCCTAAGGAAGCTACTTATGCTTTTTGCAACATGCTATTACCTAATGTAGGTACGTGGAATGAATGGGTTTGAGGTCCTAGGACATGGCAAGTGAGTCATGGGTTTCTGGTCCCGTGCTCTAGTGTGTTGCATTCATCTTTTCTGCAGTTACTCGGAGCAGGAATTGCTGCAATTCTATGGCTGGAATTACCAGAGGATTAGGAATGTAACTTTAATTTCAGTAGGACTGTGGGCTCTTGTGTCCATTGGGAATGTGTAAATAGCTAAAGAAATTCAAATTTGGTCTCTTAAAGTAGCTTCCTATCTAAACAACAGGCTAAGCCTTTTTATTACTGATGTACTCAACCATGTCAAAAGTTGGAGCCTTTCATAGCTTTAGGGACTGGGGGTTTTGCAAGTCATATGGAACAGCTCTGCACCCTGACCTCAGCTCTCCAGGCAGGTAGCACTGACTTTGCAGCAAGTATCAAATCAGTCCAGGAATATCACTGTACTGAAAAAGACAGCAAGTCTGCTGGCTTAAAAGCAATTTGTTTTACTCTTGACTTGGGTAGAATTAACACTCTGTCATTTCTGTAGCTCCTTTGAGCTTTTGAATTCATTTCTGAGGTTCTTTTCCTTTCCATTGTCTTTTAGGGTGCCATTAGAAAGAGATAATTCAGAAGAGTTTTTAAAACGGGAAGCCAGAGCAACTCAATTAGCAGAGGAAATCGAATCAAGTGCCCAATACAAAGCTCGGGTTGCCTTGGAAAATGATGAAAGAACAGAAGAAGAAAAATACACTGCTGTTCAGAGAAATGCTAACGAACGAGAAGGCCACGGTGTGAACACTAGGTACTTGCATACACTGTCAATAGCAGTTGGATTTAAATGATGTACATGTTTTGGTACAATTTACTCACTGAAACTGCTTTTTCAGCAAGGCTGATGAGGTTAGGAACCTTGTGTAAACAATGCTGTGCTGGTTTTGGCACTCATGCTAACTTGTGCACCTCTGCCTGGCCTGGTATTATCTCTGTGGTGAATTCAGAACGAATTACAGGAAAAGGCAGTGGTTATGGTATGTCATGGGGAATTTCAGGCATTAGTACTAAAGCGTTCAGTGTCTGTGAGCTCATAGAAAGTGGACTCTGTGGTCAGTATCTAAAGCCAATTCATGAGGTGAATGTTAGGTCAACATCTGATAGTGTTTAGAGTTTTCCTGTAGCTTGATTTGAGAAGGATAGAAAATACCAACAGAACATTTGGTCAGGTACTTTTCATTGTCTTTCAGTTCTGTCTTAACACTGATAGAAATTTGCTGTCTTTCAGAGAAAATAAATACATTCCACCTGGACAGAGGAATAGAGATGTCATGTCCTGGGGAAGTGGAAGACAAAACTCACCAAGGATGGGCCAGTCTGGATCAGGCCCACCAATTTCAAGGTCTGGATCCCATTCTTCAGAATTCAGTCCTAACTCTGGAGCAGATCAAAGAGTAGTTAACGGAGGCAAGTATCTGAAGTCTAAACAAATGTGCTTTATAAAATTGCAGTCAATTACCTAATTATGTTGAAACTGCATCTGGTGTGGTCTTAGGATGTGTATTTCATAAGCTAGGTTAGCACTCATCATTTAACACAGAGGTTGTGATTTTGATTTGGGTTTAATTTGCAATAGAACGCACATTTGGCTGCGCTGGAAGTAGCTTTGCAGAGCAGAAATGTCACTTGTTTTCCTCCTCAATCACCTTTGTCTTAGATGATGGTGCTGTATGTGGTTTTAAAGGTTAAAAACTGCTTTGTGTAGTACTGCTGCTAAGCTCAATGTGGAGGAGTAGCAATGCTGACACCTAGTGAAAGCAAGGTGGCAGCCGACGAGGCATCACTCTTCCTTTCTGGTGCATGGATCAATTCTCTTCCCATGAAAAAGAATAAAGCAAAAAAATCAGTGTTGGGAAAGCAAGAGAAGTGATAGGGGAAGAGGAATCAAAGCTTTCTCTCCAAATAGCTATTTGAGTATTTGCTGCTATACACATGGGTAATACAGACAGACATCACTAGGCACTGTATAGCAGGAATTGGTGTCTCATAAACCAAACACCATATTTTTGAGATGGATTTCAGCAGTAGCCTATCCTAGAGGCATCATTTTTCTAAGTGAAAACTGCTATTACATGAGATGGCTGTGAACAAATGATAAATGTAGAATACTCAAGTGCCTCTATCTGGAGAGGAAGTCTGAGAACCATCTAAAGGTAAGTGAGACTTCCTTTTTGAATACAGTCAGCTGTATAAAGGATGTACAACTGAGTCTTGCCCAAACAATGCTAACCTTGACATTCGTTCGTAGTAGTTGTGGTTTCTCTCATACTATTAGTCTGCTGAATGAACAACATATACCTAAAATATTCAGAATGGCTTGTGAATTAAATCTCTTTGATTTGGAAACAATGAGCCCTATATCCTAGATTCAAATATGACATTAATACTTCAGATAACTGCTAAAGGCATAAATGGCAGGATTCAGACACTGAACACCGCTGTTTTTTGTAAAGATACAGTTCCTAGAATTGATACTGCTCATCATTTGGTTTGAAAGTAGCAGTTTGTAGAGTCAATACTATATGTGAACCGCTGTGTGAGAACCTCTAGTAGCTATTTAAGGACCTTGTCAAGAGTGATGCGTACTGTAGAACATATATATGATAGGCTAACAGATCAAACTTTGCTGTCTATTCCTTAGTAGTATTTGTAGATCCTAATTAACCCTTTGGGGAGTTTGTGACATTCAGATGTGAAATTTGACCTGAAGTGGAGGAAATAACCTTGCAGAGAACGATTTTCTCGGTTGCCAAACTAAACTAACCTATCCCCAAAGGGTTAAACATGAAAAATCATTTTGTCATATTTTACTTTTTTTTTTCTGTTGACCTTTTTCCCCATAATTTTTCTTTAGTTTTTATACTTTCCTTCATATCATTTGTTCTGTCAGGTGTTCCCTGGCCATCGCCTTGCCCATCTCCTTCCTCTCGCCCACCTTCTCGCTACCAGTCAGGTCCCAACTCTCTTCCACCTCGGGCAGCCACCCCTACACGGCCGCCCTCCAGGCCCCCCTCGCGGCCCTCCAGGCCCCCGTCTCACCCCTCTGCTCATGGTTCTCCAGCTCCTGTCTCTACTATGCCTAAACGCATGTCTTCAGAAGGTACAATACCACGATTTGTTCATGTTTTTGTTTGTCTTTGTTTAACTCCTTTGTGAGTTTAATTACAAAATTGTTTTTCCTCTTCATTACTTAACCTATAATTTGTGTTTAACTTTAGTTTATCAGACTATTTCTATTAACCTTTTTATTTGAAGAGCTTTACAAAAACAAAATAAAGCTGTGACATTTCCCAAGTTGGTATGAAATAAACTCAGCTTTGTAAACGCTGCTCAGTGTCTTAACTTAACCAACAGCAACATGCAGGACCTGATAACTTGAAGGGCCTTTTTAGGAATACAAATTTATGTAACATATCAAATATTTGAATGCAATTGTTCCACAAAAACCAGTTCCAAATTTAACTAAATCATTGAATTTCCTTTTGTTAAAAACCAGTATTTGGAGAAGTACACTGTGGAATGGGATAGGATAAGCTGCTTCAAAGGCGAATCTGTAGAAGACTTTAGATCTGTTTGCACTGAGGCAGAACTCCCTAGCAGCCAGGGATATGCAGAGAAGGGCTAACCCATGAATCTCCATAGCTGTATGCAGAAGTATCTGAACTCTATTTGTCCTCTGAGGGTACAGTAGGGGAACACATTCTAAAATGTTTATTTAATCTTCGTTAAGTGCACTTAAAAGCTAGCCTGCACAACACTGTCTAGGGCATTGCTGGAAAGTGTGTATTCTTTAAAAGACTTGCCTGTAGATAAACTGGATTGAAGTGTACTTTAGATTCATGGTTAATATAGAGGCTGACATTTAAAGATTTATGTAACCAGAAGAGGTACTTGATACTTTAGAACTTTATCTGAAACCAGAAAGCCATTATCTGAACTTTTCACTATTACTGACCTACATTAAAAGTGAACTGTAATCAGCCACATTGTCTTCTGCTCATACAAGTTTTTCCTTATGAAGTATCAACATTTGAGTCTGATCTTGTAAAGAAAATTGTTTCTTAACATGTAGGAACTGTATTGCTGCTTAGACTTGAGCATAGTTATTCTGTGGCAGTTGGATAAGCTGTTCAGAATTACTGTATTCACTTATGACTTTAGCTTCTGGCATTACAACATGCATGACTGGAACCTTGGGACAACCATAACTTGTTTAGTTGCAATTTTGCTGACTTGTAAATGAATTGTGACCTGCTGCAGGCAATTCAGCCTCAGTGCAGAGTGCTCTGCTGAAATTCCCCAAGAGCATTGGTCAGCCAGCGGTGACTACACTGTAAATAAATGGTTGGTATCACTGACCACCTGACAAAAGCAATGGAAATTTGTTCTTTTCTGGAAAACCTTTGATAGCCTGGAACTGTGCTTACCCAGAGGGAGCTGGGCCACTCATCTTTTTGTCTTGTCTGGCAGTAAGCAATATTGGACGCATGGATTCAAGTCCTTTACATCCAGGACTTGCATACCTGTTCCAATTCTGATAAAGGTTTAAACACCAATGAACATGAGCTGTCAGAGCAAGGTGATGAGTGTGTTGGTAGTCTGGCTGGACCAATGGCTTGGCCTTTTTACTCTCATGGTAAAAGGTTCTAGTTCTCCCTGGTTCTAGTTGATGTCAGTGTAAATTGCTTGACTCTGTATTACTGTAAGTTATTAGATGAAATCCAGTCATAAAAGCAGTATGTTTGGGTACTAGTAGTGGTGGACATGAAGTACTTATTGTGTGGGGTTGTCTTCTTTTTCTCAGGGCCTCCACGGATGTCTCCTAAGGCACAACGGCACCCTCGAGGTCACAGAGTCTCTACTGGTAGGGGTACAATTTCAAGTGGCTTAGAATTTGTATCTCATAATGCACCAGGGGAAGCATCTACTACTGCAGTGGCACGAGGCAGCCCTTCAGGTGGGACGTGGTCATCAGTTGTCAGTGGGGGTAGGTAAAGCTTGGCTTATTGCAGATGGCTTGCCAGGGGCACTTTAGAGTGTGAATGCTAAGCAGAATACTGCGTTTCTAGACAATTCAGGCTCTGAATAAACACTGGTCTGCTACCTTAGCTTGTTTAGATGATGTGGGACAAGGATGTTCCCAGGTAGCTTAGCAAACTAGTTGGTGAGTTGGTCCTTCAAGTGCAGTATTGTCCTAATGGCAGAGAGGTTAAGTCAGATGCTGTATGAAAGGAAGGAAAAATGTGGGAATTGGTTGTTGAAAAAAGCAATTTTCAGGAAAGTTATTGAAGGAGACAGGAAAAGTTCTATAACCATTGCATCACTGCATTTGGTTAATGGCAGTGTAACTCGTGTTGTGGTTTACAAATGGAGGAGCTGTTTGGATAGAGGAAGGCTGGTATTAGAAGAGATGCAGATGTTGAAGTTCAGTTGGGTGTATTTTTCCTTTTAAAATTGGTCAGGTTTTAAGCAGCCATTTTGTGTTTGTCTCAGTGCTGTTGCAGCAGGTGTAGTCAGTGTCTCTGATTTTCTGATTCCTTTAACATCTTTTTTGAACACATGGCATTTAAAGCTCAGTGTTGTGACACAGGCCCTAGTCTCAAGCTTTTGGAGTTGAGGCCGTGTTCTAGTGAGTTGTCAGCAGCTGGGCACTTTCTTGCATTGAAGGGCAAGTGAGCAGCAGTTTGAAGTCTGGTACGTTTTAGCAGTGCTGGAATCCTAGAGGAGGGTAGTGGGAATGCATTTTTCAGAGAGAAGGGAGGAATTAGATCCCCCTCAGACCTGTTGCCTTGTGGAAAAGATTTAAGTTCTTCTATTGTGGCATTATGTCTGATTCATCTTTCCTCCCCATTTTATATATTATTAACATGCAAGTAGGACTGTTGTAACAACTTGCCTCTCTTTCTCCTCGCTCACTTGAAGTTAATATGTGATGTAAAGCACCTAACTAGCCACAGTGGGATGAGCAGGAGATACAACTTACCATTTAAAGAATATACAACTTTCCTTGCTGCTTTAACACAGGGGCAAAACCGTACATCAAATCACCTTCTTTCAATAGGATATTGTTTTTCTTCCAGCTGGCAAACCTCCAAAAGAGGACGCTGTAAAATGGATGTGGTTTTTTTCAGCCCTATTAAAAACGTTTCACAGCTGTTTGTGTGGAGACCTGACCACCTTTGCTGTGTTAATGTGAGCTGTTGTAGTTGTACTACTGGGGGGCTGGGGAGAATATTGCAGTTTTGTGATGGGACTGCAGGGCAGTGATATATATTAGGGGACAGTCTGCAGAAAAATTGCACCACTTATCTGAAATGCTGCGTTGTAAGGAACTAGGAGATGTACCTGAAGGTAAACAGGTTTTCAATTACTATATAATGCTCCATTAAGTATTTTAAAGCATGTCTTTAGTGATTTATAGATAAGCAAACTGCTGAGCAGATGAAGAAACTTAATCCTATAACTATTTTTTCCCTGTTTGTTTCTAGTTCCAAGATTATCCCCTAAAACACACAGGCCTAGGTCTCCAAGGCAGAGCAGCACTCCCATGGGACCAGCTCTGCCTTCTCCTCAGCCTGGAACTATTCCCACTGAATCTGTTGCCATGCCTGTTCCAGCTGCCTCTCCTACACCTGCCAGCCCTGCATCCAACAGAGCAGTTACCCCTTCCAGTGAAGGTAAGTTAACCCTCACTAGCTTGCAAATGCTCCTGTTCCTTAATACCTGACGAAGAATGTGCCTCTACAAGAGCAGAGCTGCTTCCTAAATGATGGGGAAACTTCTGATGCATTTAATTTCACTGTGTAGTGAGTTCTCCTTTTGTCATGATGATAGCTTTAAACTAAGGTTGGAGAGAAGCTTTTTGGTAAGTGTCTATGCTTGATTTCTTCTGCCCTTTAAGGAGCATGGGCTTATAGGTGTTTGACTTCAATTGAGGATTAGATTTTTTTATTTCAAACTGAGTTCCTGGCTGTTTGGTTTCAAAGAGTATTTTCAGTATAGCAAAAGGAAGGGGAATAATCCAAACGCAGAAGAGCACAGTCAGATGTCTGAGAACTCTGTTCTGTCTGATGGACTAATGAAAATAGTCTGCTCTCAGTTTATAGTTTAATTTTCAGCCTAGTTAAGGCTCTGTGTATGATGAGAGGGATGTGTTTGACAGGGACTTGTTTGGCTTAAAGGCACTAGGGTGGGGAAGGAGGGAGGATAACCCTCCAGGCCCTGACTTTTGTAAGCTAAACATGGTTAAATCTCAGCTCTATCTTGCTATCTCTGCTTGGTTAGTTCGAGTTGTGTGTCAGTGAATAACTTTGGTAATTTCTTCCCTAGCTAAAGATACTAGGCTTCAAGACCAGAGGCAAAATTCTGCAACTGGAAACAAGGAGAATATAAAGCCAAGTGAGACTTCTCCTAGTTTCCCTAAACCTGAAAACAAAGGTTTGTATCAAAAGCTTTCGCATATACTTGTGTAATGTAGGAATTCCACACACTAAACCTGCTGTACTGGCTGCTCCAGCTAGCATTTTAAGGAAGTCTTGGAAGCAGTCTGACTTGGGTGTTCTACAGTGAAAACTTGGTCATGCAGTTGTGAAGTGGCAGACCTGCGATTCTAAATGTTCTTCTTGACTCATTTTATCAACATAAAGTCTAGAGATGCTCATGTGGATGGTGTGATTTCTTTTCCCATGGTTGTTCTTTTTCCTGCTTTCTTTTTCCTGTTCACAAAGCCCGTTTTTAGCTGTCTGGACTAAATGAGTGTTTCTGCTTAGAGCTGTGCTCACAATGCTCCTGAGCATCATGGTCAGCATAGCTTTTCGTAACTGTGCTTCTTCCTATTACGCCTTAAATTTGGCTTTCTCTGCAGCATTGTTTGTTCATTCAGTTCTCAAATCTTTTCATGGTGAAATTAGAATCACAGAATCATTTAGGTTGAAAAAGACCTTTAAGATTAAGTCCAGCTGTAAGCCTGACCTTGATCAGTGTTTCACCTTTACTCGCTATGCTTTGAAACGCTGGTCTGTTACGTTCTGAGGGTTTTGCTGCATGCTGCTTTGTGTTCAGCTGAGTTCTGCAGTCCCTGCACCTCAGGGCTTCTGTCTTGGTGCGATGCGTTAGAACTACAGATATGTCAGTTATGTAATGCTGTGATTTCAACAGTGTCTTTTTGTGTGCTCATACACATAAATCATGGAATTACACCAAATTACAGATGAAATGATAACACTTTCATTTTTAGATGTGCAAACATCACCTTTTGGCAAATTTATTAATGTTTAGGCGATGTGTATCAAACTTGTATTCGAAATGCTTGGACAATGTTGGTCTTATATTTGGCAGGTGTATCTCCAATTGTTTCAGAACATAGAAAACAGATTGATGATTTAAAGAAATTTAAGAATGACTTTAGGGTAAGTTCTTCTGTATGTTAACTTAATGGTGTTAGCTCATGTGCATCCAGATTATTTTAATGAATTGAATAAACTGCATGTGTTAACAGGAGAACAGGTCCTTACTACTTGTGCTTCATTTGTGCAAATAGAAGAATTCATGCTAGATATTATAAAATCAATGCTGAGTCTTGCTAGTAAAATTGCCTAATGCGTGTGAATGTGCATGTTGACTGTACGCTGAAAATAGTACTTGAAACCTATTTGATCATTAGGTACAAATAATTATCACATTTAAACTCCGTATGGAAGAGCTGTTTCAAAGTCAAGTAAAGGGGTTTGCTGAGGCAAATTGAAGATGATTATATTGGTTTTATTAAATCAGGTTGGCTTTTCAAGTGTTACTGTTAAATCACACAGGGGGATGAGGCCAGAGGTTTGTCTTAAGCTTTCCTGTCACTTCCTAATCAACATACAGGTCAGTTTAGTCGCTGAATAGCTTCTTCCACAGTGTAGGCTTAAAACGTCATCCTGGGTCATAGATTTCTTTTCTAGTAGAAATGGAAATGTATGCTTTAAAAGGTCATTTCCAGATGATTGAGGCCTGTGGGACTGTGGTTTACTCTGTCTCTGTGGTAGCATTAGATTGTCTCTCCCTAGTTCTGCATGTCAATTTACTGACTATATTCCTTGGGGTTCTTTTTTTTTCAGTTACAGTCAAGTTCCTCTTCAGATGCAGTGGATCAGCTGCTAAACAAAACCCGAGAAGGTGAAAAATCAAGAGATGTAGTTAAAGAAAAGACAGAATCAACCCCTAAAGAATCTATCATAGAAACTGGCAGTAATACTAACTCTAACGGTGGCAGTAGCAAACCTAATAGTCCAAGTATTTCTCCTTCAATAAGTAATAGTTCTGAGCAAAAGCGGGGGCCTGAGGTAACTTCACAAGGTGTACAGACATCTGGGCCTGGAAGTAAACAAGATAAAGAGGATAAAGAGGAGAAGAAAGATACTTCTGAGTGAGTAATTATGCCTTTTAGAATAAGCACATCTGTTATTAGCATTTAGCCATTTGTGGGAAAAGCTATGATGAATGTGTAATATCTTACTGTTTATATGCTGATAGCAGTACTCTGTTATACGGAGAGGAGAACAGGTGAAGTGACTACTAAAAGTCATCTGATGAGTCAGTGGCAGAGCTGCATGTAGAACTCTGTTGATGCCTAATTCATATCTAAATGCTTATCTAAATGTTTTCCTGGCTCATGTGAGCTGTAGTATCAACAGCAGGAAAGCTTTCTTATGGATAAGTATAGTAAGAGTGCTGTCACCAGGGTTGGCTTTTTGCATGCCGCGTGTTGTTTGAGTTCTCAGAAATCTGACTCAGATGGAAATGAGTTTTTTAATCTCTAAATTTTTAATCATTGGGGAGTTTTACAGATATGCTTATAAAAGAATAATGCTGAATGTCATTTTTTTGTTCTTTATGTTTAGGCAAGTTAGAAAATCAACACTTAATCCTAATGCAAAAGAGTTCAACCCTCGATCTTTTGCTCAAGTAAGTTATTTGATACTGTTTAACATTGCTTTTGAGTAGATCTTTATAAGCAAAACTTGCACTTGGAGAATAATCCAGCTAATCTTGCATATGCCTTGCTGAACTCTGTTTGTAGCCGAAACCTTCTACTACACCAACCTCCCCTCGTCCGCAAGCTCAACCTAGCCCCTCCATGGTGGGTCATCAGCAGCCAACCCCAGTGTACACTCAGCCTGTTTGTTTTGCACCAAATATGATGTACCCGGTTCCAGTGAGTCCAGGCGTGCAGGTAAAATGCAAACTTAACTTCTCAGATGGTAGTCAGCAAGTTGAGGAGACTTAGGAGACCCAAGTTAGAACAGGGAGATGGTAGAGCTTGTATTACTGCTCTTGTAAATATGGACACAGTTACATTGCTGTTAAGTTTTAGCTGTGTAAATACTGACTCTAGCCAGTGGTCACTCAGTCTAGTTCTGGTAGTCTCAACACTGGTAAATTCCAGCGGCTCTTACTCACATTTGTTGCTAATCTCTGCAAACTTCCTCCCCAGTCCTCCAGGCACAGTCTGACTCTTAAGTTTTAAGCAGCTGTTTCTTCCAGCTGTGTCCCACTAGTTTCTGGTCATTGTAGGGATTACTAAAATTACAAATCTAGCTGTTAGGAAGCTGTCTGATTTAATACATTGAAGCAGCAGTAGTAGCATTACTTAACTGGTTGTTGCAAACCATATGGCCTTAGTTGTTTGTACATGCAGATTAATCACAGAGAGCCAAGAAAATACCTTAAGTTAGACAGAGTTCACTAAACCATGTAACATAGCAGAGTAAAACATGTCAAAGCTGAGTGGGGCCCCCACCTTGATACATACTCACTTTTTAAAGGAATATCACAGCTTCAACTCCTTCTGTTTCAGCCTTTGTATCCAATTCCCATGACGCCCATGCCAGTGAACCAAGCCAAGACATATAGAGCAGGTAAAGGTGAGAATAATACTGCCTGTTTGGTTCTTAGTCTGCATGCAGCATGAATACATTACAGCTGTTTGTGTATTTTCTAATCCCTGTTGATTTGGTTTCGATTGATATTTTAAATGCTGTTTTTAATAAAGAGAAGTCAGTGGAAATTCTACGTAAACTAGTTCAGCCAAAACACGTCAAGTTTGAGTGACGGGGAGTTGCTTGGTTTGGAATCTGATTTGTCAAACAGGAAAATGTCTCTGTTACTTGGAATGTTAGGGTAAGCTGATCATTTCCTATATTTCATAAACATTATGGATTTGTTTAAAGAAAACCTTTCTGCACCAGTTTTCTCGACTGGTTTACAGCAGACCCTGAATGGTGCTTTAACAGAGGGAGTTGTTGTGGTCAACAAGCAAAATTGCTGTTTCTTCAGGAAGAGTATGTGATGCTGCTGCTCTTCTGGAAAGAGCTTACTGCTGATTCCAGTTTGTTCCTTTGCATTCCTTCTGCAACTCTAACTGAACAGCTGGACTAACAATACCATGCTTTTAAGAGGTGACACCTGTGGCTGTGGAGGAGAGAACATGTGTCGTGAGATGCACTTTCTTCTGGGCAGTGCAGTGAGGAAGCAGAAAAATGCTGGTCTTGTTTTGATAGTCATGTTTCACATAATGCTCTGATTCTACACAGTGCATGCTTTCTTGCAGTTTTATACAGTGGGTCGTGATGATAGGTTCCAGTGCTGCAGCTCCAGTCACTGGAGGAGGAAATTGTTTAAAAGAGCAGTTCTACTGTGTAGAAATAAACAAGTAGCCTTTATGAATGGAGGGAAGACAAAACCCCACAATGTATTTCTATTTTAAAACACAACTAACTTCACTGTGGCCTGACCCAGGAAATCTTCTGGTTGGTGACATGCTTGTTTTAATCAGAAGTATATTGCTGGGTACTCACTTGCTGCGTAAGGCTGCTCTGCTGTTCTGAATTCCTTCAAGTGCCATTATTTTTGGATACCCATCCTGTGTGCAACATAGTCCTGATGGAGCTGTATGGGTTGAAGTTCAGGGCCTTTACGCTGTTCCAATTGTGTCCTGTATTTACTTTTCTCTGTTGTTGATTTGCAGTGTAAATACAGTCATCACTGAGTGAATTCACTGACATCTTCAACATTGCCCTTCTTTCCTTTCTCTAAGGGCTCTGTCTACATTGCACCCTGCAGTGGAGTTCACAGGTGCTTGAGACAGCATCGTTATTAGTTGCAGTCTCACTGCAGCAAGCTGGAGCTCACCTTGAGCTCTCTGGCCCTATTGCTTAGTAGGCTGAATGAGTTTGTTCTCAGTGCCCTGCTGCTCTGGTTTGGTTGGTTGTCTTACCAGGATAGCTCAGGTAGTCCCACACTACAGCACTCTGCTCTCTTGATCTTTCTTTCCTCTAATTAGTCCTTTTCTTCGTATAGGTTGACTTGTCCCCTTCAGTGTTGACTGTGACCTAAAAGTTGCTTCCTACTATCCTGAGGGGTAGCACAGAGCTTAAGAGATGTGAATAGCTCAGATTGTGGCTGGGTGGAGACCTTTATTGTGCTCTCCTCAGGCGTAAGCACAAGCCATTTTAACAGACTCAGGTTTCCAGTTGCTGAGTAGTTCCCATAGAGGGTGAATTAAGCCTTTTGAAGGGTACAGGATCAAATTTGATTAACGTAGGTATCCTCATATAACCTTTCTCTTCCACTACTTATTCTTGACAATCTTTCTTTTCCTCCACCTTTGTTCCTTCCTTCACAAAAGAGCAGGCCTGGGTTTGTGGCAGTGTACACGGCTCAAAGGCAGTAATGAAAATCAAATGTTTGTTGGTGGAACTTCTGGATTCATGCTGTTCCTTTTTGGTAGAGCTCTAATACGGGGTTTAAGGTGAGGGGTGAAGATGTTCCACTTGGTCACAGTGACATTGTAATGTAAAACCTTTGAGGAAGATGGTCATTCTTTGTCCTGTGTTTCTAACGTGAGACATCCTTTGCTTTGTAGTACCAAATATGCCACAGCAACGGCAAGACCAACATCATCAGAGCACCATGATGCATCCTGCCTCAGCAGCAGGCCCTCCAATTGTAGCTACGCCACCTGCTTATTCAACACAATATGTTGCATATAGTCCCCAACAGTTTCCTAATCAGCCTCTTGTGCAGCATGTGCCACACTACCAATCTCAGGTAAGAGTCCTTTCGGTCTATGTGAGAAGTCAAACCAGAAATAATCAATTGGCTCAGTCCTAAATTGTCTTCAGTCGTACGAAGTCACTTTGAACAGTTCCTGGTGGTATTGTAGTGGGCTTCAAAGCCTGTAACAAACTGTAAGATCAGTTTAGAAGTTGGCATTTATTATTGATCCCACTTTTTTAGTTCTTTGAAGAATTCCTTCCAGGTCAAGGCCAGGACAGCTCCTAGTTATGTGTTCTAAAATTAAACTATTTGGTGTACTGCTCTTACTTCAAAAGCTTTGAAATAAACATATGTAATAGGATAACTATATAATTACATACATAAGCTTACTACATAATTCAAGTGGCAAAAGTCAGATACACCAATGGGTTTTGCCACTTTCTAGCCCACTGCAGTAAACATCCTTAAATTTTTAGGAACGACTGGGATAATGGTGATTGTATGAAATCTGTAGTTTACTCTATGTTTTAGTAAGGCTAAACTATTGCTATTACTGTTTCTAAGTACATAATTGTTTAGATGACACTAGTTTCTTTGTAATAGCCCTACAATTAACCGTCTATTTTCTTCTTTCTCTTGACTGCAGCATCCTCATGTTTATAGCCCTGTAATACAGGGCAACGCTAGAATGATGGCACCACCAACACACGCACAGCCTGGTTTAGTATCTTCTTCTGCAACACAGTATGGTGCGCATGAACAGACGCATGCTATGTATGGTAGGAAACGTTTTGTGTTATATGTAACTTTTTAAGTTCTTAACGTTGTGCAGGGATGTATTTAATCTCGAGCTTCAAACATGGGTATCATTCAGATTACACCAGTAGATGTGGTTTATATTTCGTAAGATGATGAGCAGAGAGCATTGAAAACTGAGCCACCGGGTTAAAATGAAAACTCAAGTATGCTGATTTCAGTAGGATGCCAGTGACCAAGATGAAATTTCAACCTGGGAGCTGCTAAAGAATATCTGCCGAAAGAAGTTTGTTCAAGTTCCCTTGATGCTCTTGACACAACATCCCTTGATTGTTTCTTGATTATAATTAGGACTTGTTTTATTGCAAGGCTATGACCTCAGTTTCAAAACTTGACTTTAGTTCTGACAACTAGTGAAATGCTGTCCTTATACTACTAGCATTATTAACAGTATGAACACTGCTGTTAAAGCAAAATAAAACATGTGTTGCTTACCTTTCTTTTTTTGGTAAGTCAAGAATATATGAAACAGCTCATGTATTGCTCTGACTCTGACAATTATTCTCCAGCATTATCCGATGGGCATGTTTCACTTACAGTGAGGTGCTGAAAATGTGGGTTACCTTGTTACAGAGTAAAATGTGAAAGAACTTCTAAAGCATTATAACTGTATGATAAATCAATGCCCAATTTGGAGGAAAAAACCTCACTGCAAAACGTGCTATTGAAAGAGGTAGAATCAAGGTTGCTAGAAGGCTTGGAAATTGTCATAAAATGTCAAAACAGCAGATGGTCTCTTGAAAACATGGCATTTCAATACTTGTTATAGCATCTGAAGAAGCCTTTTATTGGGTCACGTATATTATTGACTTAGATTCTAATAAAAGATTTTCTGTACCTTTAGACATCTTTGTATGTTTTCCGGTGCTTAGTTTTACACTGCTGCTTAATGGAAGTCCATGATGTGTCATGAAAACTTACAAAGGCTGAGAATCTGAAGTTTAGTGTGAAATTAATTCTGATTTTAAAAAGTCTGTGTCTTGCCCATCTGAAAACATCCTGTCACGTCTCGACAGTGGGATGGTAAATAGAGCTAAGAAGCAAAACTAATAGAGAGAAACCTTTTCTGACACTTGGAGGAAGAACATTTCAGCTCATTTGCGCTGAAGCTGAAATGGAAGTTACTTGTAGAGATTAAGTCTTTCTCTCACAGGTCCTTGCTAATTGTATAACTTTGATCTTTTCTACTCTTGTGCTTGAGGTGTCCATGTAAACAGATCTTCTTTTTCATTAGATTAAATAGAATTCCGATAAAGTGAATGATCAAAGGCTTTCAGACCTTTATTGGTGAAAACTCTCCTCTCAAACCCTAATTAAAATAAAGCCAAACATGAGATAATCTGAGATGCGATTCAGAATGGTTGCATGTGACTTCCTACCGATTTCTCATTGTGCACCATCCTTATCTTCTGTAACCAGTGGGTTCTACAGCATTGAAGTACAAGCCCATTCCCTTGGTTGGCTTTGATCTGTAGATGTCTGTATAGTTTTATCATTAATATTCTAATTTGCAACTGTTAGATCTCATTTCTGTGTTGGTTTTGCAGCTTGTCTGTTGTAGGTATGTGACTACCTACCAGTGCAAACAACTAAGTTGGGTCAAACTTGAATTCTTTGGTATTTCCTGCCATGTAATTAAATACTACGTTTCCAAGAGCACCTAATTTAACAGAAGTTGCATGTCCTCCTGTGTTCTTTCAAGTAGCTACTTGGTGACTCTTCTAAATGTTCTCCAACCTTCCCAGTAAATGAGCAAGTGCTTGAAATTCTTGTTATTGAAACCATTCAACCCGGCTGGATCATGAACTCCATATGAGACACTTTTTTAAGAGTATGTTCTTGCCATGTGCACATGTGTTTATTGCCTAGTGAACATGAATTGGCTCAAACGTGCCCTTAACCTACGAGGTTTACAGTTAGCTACACATGAAATGGCTTCTGATGTAGTGCAGCACTGCCTCAATTCAGCTTTTTGCAAGTCTTCCATGTGCTGAGTACTTGAAGACCTTGCGTAGACGGATTGCGCGTCCTCCAAACGTGTCCATCTGTAACATATGCACTTCAGCTTCCATTTACCAGTATGTGAACGCTTGGGGAAAGCATAGAAATGCCTGAGGTGATAAGTATAAGCTGCTCGTGGAGTACATTGCTAAAGAACAACGTGCAGGAATCATTCACATCTGATTGAGTGACTGTAAGAACATACCCATAACTTACGTTCTGTATTTTGGGAATCTTAAGTTTACCCACAGTATCTTTGACCTTAATATACCAGTGCACTTTGATTCTGGTCCTCTTTTAAAACTAATCTGAAAGATCAGAGTAACAACTTCCTGAGAAACAACACTCCTGCTTTTGATTTCTGGAGCACTTGCTCAGACAAGTTCTCAGATTTCCTTTTGGCTCTTTAAAATTGCTGTTTGGTTTAAAAAATACAGATCTTACTATTGATTTTTAAACTGGTTTTTCCCCCCATTGATACCAGGATTTAGGGGGCTACAACTGCCCCTTTATCCTTCAAGGTACTAGTGCCTTCTGTGAGATAATTCTTGGAACATTCCCTCGTTTTTGTTTCCTGCATATGTGATAGAAGATGTCTGCCAGGACAACAGCACTGAGACCTGGGGGTTGGGGGGCATTGCTTATGAAGTATTCCTAAAGGTGTGAAATGTTTTCTGGTGAGATCTGAAACTCCATCTCCACTAATGGTTTGGGACAAGTTGAAAGTCTGTGGCAAGTAGTAACAGCCTGCCAGCGAAGAGAAATGCCTGTTGATCCATTAAGGGAACTGCCCTCACTGCCAGAGTTTGGGTTATGTTTTCCTTCCTGTCTCGTCAAGAGATAGCTGAATCCCAAATACATACCGTGACCTACACTTGTTGATAAGCACTCTTCCATTTTAAAGAAAAAGTATTTTTTGTCTAATGCTGTTTAATGGGATATTTCTGCACTTCTGGGATTTCCTTGCCAGTCGTTACAGTGTCCTGCTTCTGTTTGACAACCCGCTGTTGACAAGAGCTCAAGAGAAGCAGAGCAGCGTGGTCACCAGTAGACCCACCTAAACCTATGATGGAGGAGTGTATAAATCATTGGTTTTTTCCCCTCAAAACACAATTGGGAAGGACAATATTCAAGCAACTATCTTCCCATCTACCAGCCAGACACTAGAAACGTCTAATTACACACTTCAGCTTGTAACTTCTGGAGACGTGAGCCACTTAGATGTCCTTGCCAAGGAGAGCTTGAGACGCAGGCACTGCCGAAGCAGAGCAGTACACACACCTTTAACAGCCGTACTCACACACCTGACCATGGAGTTATTGTTCTCACCCTGCCTAACTGCACGTTGGTTTCAGAATGTATTGTCTGTCTCAGAAGTGTTGGCTCTGTGTGATCTCCTGATACCAATGTCCTTGGGCTGGAGTCTGCTGGCCATGGTTTGCAGTTTGACTGCTTGATCTGTGTCGCACAAAGACCCAACCTTGTCTTGTGCTTTTAGGAGAAAATGTGGTTATCTCAGCAGAGGGTGGATATATTCATTCCTGTGACAATGACCTTGTGTTAGTTTTACCATGTAGCTGAATTGCCTCTGTTTTCAGATAACTGGAGTCCTCTGAAAAGCTTAACTTTTGTGTTTAAAACCAAACTTGTGTAAAACCAGACCTTGGTTTTATACAGATGCATTTCCTGTTTTTTGTGCTCTCATTCCTGTCCCCATTCTCCCTTCCCCTTTCCCCTCCTGCATATGTTTTACTGGTCTGGTGTTGTCTCTAACTTTATCTGGTTTCTGTCTCAGCAGTAGAGTAAATTCTATTACCCTGATAGTACAATGGTGGATATAATATAAACTTCAGAGGATTCTCCAGGGACTAAGAGTGAACCAGTCACCAAAGGTGTCTTGGAACTGTTAAGAATGACAGTGATATAGCTGCAAAAGCAGGGGGCCAATTTCTGTTTTAGTGTGATGACATTTTAACCTTCTTATTACAGTGGACTGTAATAGACCATTAATTGACGTAAAGTTGATTTTTGTGTGAATTAAGAACTGAAGACCTCAGTGTCACAGTTAAGGAAGGCTTACTTGAGACTTGTGTTGTTTCATCTCCACTCCTTTGTAAAACTAAATATCCAGCTCTAATAGCACCTAAGTAAATAAAAATATCTGCATGGTTCTACAAGCTTAAAAAAAAACCTTAAAGCAATGACGCTGACCTTTCCAGAAGACGGGAAGTATGCACGTGGCAAGAGGCTAATTTACCTTTCTATTTCCCAAATTCAGCATGTCCCAAAATACCATACAGCAAGGAGACAGGCCCTTCTTTCTACTTTGCCAGTGAGTTGGGTTTTTTGTACTAATTTTGATTGTACAGAAAAGCACTTTCTAAAGAACCAGATGTTAAAGGAATGGGACGTGTTGAGGGAACAAGTTTCCTTGCACCAAACCAGTGTGTGGAAAACGCAGGAAGGTTCCTTTCAATGGACAGGGGCATGAAGCAGATTGATGAAATCACAGGAAGCTGATTTGTTGGCTTTTAAAATTGATTTTGCATGTTGAATAATCTCTGACTTTACTACCCGGTCTTCTCATGCGCAGTCAGAAGCGAGCTCTGCGTGTGGATGGCCTTTGCTTGAAATGTGACTGAACTGCCTCACTCCCTTTCTTTCATGGCTCACATGGGGTTTTTAAAACGTCACAAAAAAGGAGAAGTATCTTGTGCCTCATCTCTTTAAAAAGCTGTGGCTCAAGTTCAGAGTCAGTCCCGGGGAGGAAATAACTTGAGTTGCAGCTGAGGTGAAAGAAGCTTTCTGTAGAGCTGCTTTGGAACCACTGAAGGAGAGCTGTGAACAATGTACTTTGTCTTTATTATAACAAGAGTGAATGGATGAGAGCTCCTTGCGTTGGATGCTTCCTCCTTGGCTGATGAACATTACCTGTTACCTGGCTCCAGGTAACCCATTGGGAGAGGTGCTGATGTTCTCCACGCACTTGGTACACAACAGCTAATACAGACTTCAGCTGTGTATGTGTACTAGGAAAAGCAGATAACTAAAACCCACTGCCTTGTATGTTGGTGTCCATCATGACACTGTGAGGAAGCTGAGTTTTGGGGTTGTGGTTGCAGGATGAGCTGTAGCTGTCACTCAAAACATGGGAAAGGAGGACTTGCAGTTTCAGGGTGTTTTCATACTTGCTCCTGTCCTGCAGTAGTGACTCGTTGCTGTGTGTGTCTGCAAGTCCATGCAGCCTATGCCAGGCACTCTTCTGGGTTTTTTTTGAGTTAGCTCATGCAAGAGGGATGTGAGAAATACCACTTGTTCTCCAAAAATCTCTTCTGGAACAGACTTCCTGTGTTTCTTGTACAGCCGTGGTTCTGCATGAACTGGTGTTGGAGGATGCTGACCTGTCCTGTTTTCATGCCTCTTGGTTTGGTGCACTGAAATAACTTTACTAAGCTCGTTCCTTTCATGAGTAATCTTTTAAGTGAAGTCCACTCTACCTGTGTAAAATGACTTCTTGAAATGTTTGTGTTATGAAAGAAACATTTGCTATTTCTTTGCTTCCTACCATTCAGGTCTTTTAAATGTAGTTATCCTCACCATCTTACTGGGTCTGGCAATAGTTTTGAAGTTTGTTCACTGGTCAGTTCTTGAAAATAGGCTCTTCAGTGCATCTTTGGATGATGACCAACGATGACCACCATTGGCACCATTGAAATTCCTACCAGGGAAAGCACAAAATTACATGATACCTTTTTTGCATCTACCCTTGTAGCTGGGAGTTCTGCTTGATTTCTGCTGCTCTGACCTCTTCTGATTTCAGCTCCTTCTGTGGGTTTGATGGCTGACTGCTCCTTGTTTGCCTCTCAGAGAAACAGGTTGCACTTTTGTAGAGTTGAATTCAGTAATTCAGTCCATCTGATATTTTTGCTCACTTCATTACCGAATCACTTTCTTCGCTGTCTGTCCCTGCCAGGTTGGTGCAGTTAAATATTTCATGGTAGGAAACAGCTTGATCAGAAAGATGCTGAAGTGAAGCAGATTAACCCAGGGAGTATTTCAGGGGGAGAGGGAGCTTAAGGCAGAAAGGGTGAGAAATACAGTGTATTTGTGCTGGAGTGAGCTGAGGCTACTTGCAGCAAGGAGATACACAGAGCTGTTTTGTCCTTTCCTAGAGCTTTCTCAGCACTTTCTTGGATACTAGATGGCCATTTGGAAAATCTCCAAAGTACTAACAATTGGGAGAAAATGTTGGATAATTGGTGATTTATTTTTTTCTTCTTTACATGCTGTCTTACCTTGTTTGCTCTCTGATAACGTGTAGTGAGCTGTTGTGATGAACAGGCAGAAATCCTTGACACAAGTCGCAGTGAAAGTGCTTTAGCTATGGCTAAGCAGGTGAATTTCTCATGGCTGTTTTGCAAGGCTTCTTTCACAGGCTTGCTGGTCTCCTAGAGTTCATTGGCTTGTCACGAGCTATTAATTGCACTAGCTCAACATGGAAACCCCTTTACATCTCCAGAGTTGAAGTTTGAACCCCTCTTTTGAGCTAACAGAGATCTGTGCATGTATTTCAGAGTTGCTGCCACTCGCCCTGAACTGTTCTTCATTTGTATGCAGGATCAGTACAGGATTTAGATAAGTGTCCAAATAACCTTTTTTGAAAGGCACTTTTAATATCGCTATTAAAACGTGATTTGCAGCAGTATCTGAATTAGTTTTAACCAAACTTGTAGAGTTTATTAGAGTAATTCGTTAAGGAGAAAATGGGGGAGAGGAGAAACTAAGTAAATAAAAATTTCTCAGTATAAAAAATCTGGTACTTCCAGTGCAAAGCTATAGATGAAAGATGTTAGAAGGTTATGGAAGAACTGAAAACTTGATCCTTCCCCTGCTTCTCTATTTGTTCTTTAGGGTAGTATTCCTTGGTTTAACTGGTTTCTTAAGAGAGAAATTGTTCATTGTGAAGTTTTATTGTATAATGTGTCTGCTTCAGAGTAACTTAGTTTATTATTCTCTCGGCTATGAAGAGATGGAAAATGAATTGCACAAATGGTTTAAGGGAGTACCACATTATTTCAGTGGCTCTTAACAAGTAATGTGGCAGGATGTGGGAAGCCTTGAACATCTTACGACTCGGAATTAATTTTCATATACATTTTAAAGCCTCTTGACTGGAGTTAAAGTTAATTTGTAGTCAGGCGTGCCAGCGCTGTGGCTGAGGCAGTGGGATGAGAGCTGAGGAAGATTGCTGGTAGCAATGCCCTTTGGCAGGCAAGTCAATCCCTCTCTATATTTATTTCTGTTACTTTGACAGAGATAATAACTCCTGGCCTTCTTCAGAGTGTGTGTAATAATGAGGTTGAGAAATTTTCCTGCTGTAGGAAACCAAAAACTTCATGCTGTAAAAATGATCAGTGTGCCCATTGATAATCTTCACACGATCATTGTAAGAAGGAGCAGTGTTTGAAAGTCAGAATGAAGCGTGGTGGGGATGCTGCTGCAAAATAAGTTTTAGTAGTGATATACACACATATTAAAAGCCTTCTCTTGCATTTGAAACCTTAGCAAAGTGCTATGGCAGAAGATACTGGTAGTTTTGGCAATATGCATAGGAAACACTGAGGTGTTTTCAACACCCCTCTCAGAAATTCTCATGGTGCATGAGTATGTACACTCGTGCGTAAGTACACTTACATGCTCATGCATAAGTATGTTACCATCCCTTCCAGACTGCAGGAATTTAGGAATACAAATATTTATGAAGTTTATCTGCATTAATAGCCTGAAACTGTAGTGCACATCACTGTTGGACCATTTGCTCAGTGAAGATTTAATAGAGCTTTCAAGACAGCAGGGCAGGATTAAGTGAAATGTGGTAGGCAGTTATTTCCTAAAGGAGAGACTTCCACAGCGGTCTGTACAGGGGAGAAAAATCTCAATTAGGCAAAAAGATGCTGTCTGTATGTATTCAAGTGAGTTTGATTGTTAGAACTAGTAGTTGTAAGCTTAATAGCAAGCCAGACTGGAGGAAAACAAGTATTTGCATAGGGTAGTATTGTGTCAGGACTGGTTAATGGCACACGGTAGGGTTGCTGTCTTTTTGAGACTTGCTTTTGCTGAACAGTGTTGTGCTTTCAAATGCAGCTACATTTTTGTCCATTTTCTCCATTCATCTTGTCTTTCATCCTTTCTATGCACTCAGGCAGTTGTGTGTATTCGTGAACTTGGAGCCCAGCACAGTGACACTCTTCAGGACCTGCAGCAAACAGTTCCTTGTGAAAGGGAGATAAAACCACACCTCACTAGCTGTGAATACACAAGGCAGATGGTTGTAGCATAACTCAAGGTTTCTCCCTGTGCCCTGCTTTTCAGGTTCATTTACTAGGGCAAGGAAACACCACTAGAAAACCCATTGCTGCTAAAGGTGTGCTACTCATAGGCACTTTATTGGCCATCAAGTTCTCATCTAATACACACCCCATTAAATAAGCTTGTCACCCAATAGTAAGCAGTAATTCAATTCAGTCAGAACTACCAAAAGAAATAAAGAAGAGTTGCAGGGAAGATTCAGGAGCAGGCTGATAGTTTGCTTGGACTGTTTTGTCAGCAAAACTAGCCTCTGTTTTGGCAAGCTCTAATATTCGAGAGGGTGGTGTGTGCATTGTTGTATGCAGTTGCAAACTGGACTGATTGTTGCACAAGATCTAAAAGCAGTGAGGGGAATAGGCAGAGCATCTTCGTTTTCTTAGGGCCTTGCTTTCTGGTTGCATGCTTTGTGTTTAAAGGCAGCTTGCTATCATTATGGCTTTTCATACTTACATTCCCTCAGAATTAAGGAAAAGCCCCTAAGCTATTTAATGTGGCCATTTTGAAGCAGAACAGAGCAGAGTTCCTCGAAGAGGAACTTGTTGATACTAGTTTGTTGTTGGAGACTGGCATGGCTGTAGCAACAGATGTGGTTTTACTGGTGTGAAAGTTTTATGTTGTTAAGTTTTTCCCTTTTTTGGATTTTTGTACCTTATTTGCTGCTGTTTGAAGGAATTAAGAATTTCATGGAGTGTGGAGATCCAGAACAGACTCTGTAATTGGCCTTGAGGGGAGAGGCAAGATACCTTATCCTAGTGCAAGATACTGGCTTCAGCAAAACTTTGATGCTCAAGCAGCCTCAGTTTTCTCAGCTGTTCTGTATATACTGTGTGTCCCTATAGCTCTTTTACATGCAGTGCATATATATACTTTACACTGACTGTACTGTGAGCAAGTTCCAGAAGAGTAGCATGGTGAGGTTAGCCAGGTATAAGGCCAAAGAATTTTTTGGATGGTGGAAATAAAAATGGCTTGTAACACCTTTGAAAAGTATGTTTCAGGAAAAACTAAATTGTATGAAAATGATGAATTTGATACTTTAAACAAAACCAAAATACTGCTTTGTTCTATGTAGTATCTGTTACATTGTCAAACTAGGGAAGATGAACTGTCTAATTATGGTTATTTATAGACTTTCCTGCAAAACCAAACTACACAAAAGGTAAGAACTCAGCTATTTGCAAGATACTTTTTTTAGAAGGGGGAGGGAATATATTTACAGTATGTTTGAGCTGTAGTGAAACCTTCAGTGCAGATGGTAACTTGATGAGATGCATGTTGTGTGTCTGTTGTTAAGTGTTTTTCTCTTTCATCCTAGTTTCCACTGGCTCACTTGCTCAGCAGTATGCCCACCCTAATGCTACCCTGCATCCGCATCCTCCGCATCCTCAGCCTTCTGCCACACCAACTGGCCAGCAGCAAAGCCAACATGCTGGAAGCCACCCTGCTCCTAGCCCCGTGCAGGTAACAGAATTGAGGGAGTGAATGTTTTTGCGTCGTGTTTAACATGCTCTGCTGGAAGGTATTGCATCTGATGCATGACACTGACATATTGATTTATTTGAGAGGAAAAATGGTAGGAAACAAACTGCATGTGACATTTCTCATGTGGGACTTGTCTAGATTCCCCTCTGATTTCTGGAAGGATGGAAGTAGAGCTGTATAATGTAATTTTTCTCTGCTTGCAGTGGCTAAGGACTCAAAGGTGATAGGCTTATAATATAGTTTCTTAGATAAGCTAGCAGGGAAACTCATGGAAGTCCCTTTTCCTTAGTAAGGACTAATATCAGAGTCCAAGCATTCATTTCTCCCTGTTCACAGGGGTTGAGGTATAGCTTGTTTCTGTGTTATGATTAAGGAAAGATGAGAGTTTTGTCAGAGCTTTAATACGAGTGGAGTTACAATTGGAAATGGCAGATAAATGCTACGAAGTGTTCGTTTGTATTTTGTCAAAGACAAGCAGCTGAAAACAAAATAGTCCTTGTGATAGTGCTGAGTGCCTTAGTTACCTACTGGTAGTAACTGTGGGCTGCTGAGTGCAACTGTGAAGTACACCCAGCTCCATGGTAGCAGGTTCTCCTTGGTTTTACCAGGCAGTCCAGGTTCTATTTTCCAGACTCTTGCTCATGTGATTTTCCAGTGCAAGGAGAAATGACCCTGGTGGAACTGAAATGAGTTTCCTCATGTCCGTAGATGTGGTGACCCTTTTGCCACTTTTGAGAGCAGTTTTGCAAACCTTTCTTTACAGAACAGTCGTGTCTCTCTTCTAGACCACCACCTAAACCATCTTCTGTCTTTCTTTGCAGCATCATCAGCACCAGGCTGCTCAGGCACTCCACCTGGCAAACCCACAGCAGCAGTCGGCAATTTACCACGCAGGTCTAGCTCCAACCCCACCTTCCATGACGCCAGGCTCCAATACGCAGTCTCCACAAAATAGTTTTCCTACAGCACAACAAACAGTCTTCACCATTCATCCCTCCCATGTTCAACCTGCATATACCAATCCGCCACACATGGCCCATGTCCCCCAGGTAAACACAGTTTAACAACCTTCAAGACTAAATGTCTTAATGCCACAAAAGTTAGGACAGTCGGGCCTGCTGAAGTGATTTCCATTCTGTCACCTCTCAGCACAGACTACCTGTTGTGTTATTTAGGTTTTCTGTCTGTACATTGCCTTTTATTTAGAATTTTACAAGAGATTTGGACCTCAGCTTCCAACACCCAGTGCATCTACAACTGTAGTTTAATGAAGACATCTTAAGCTGGCACTGCTACTGAAAGAAATTGAGCTCTCTTCCCAGTTCTCGGCTCCCATCCCTGCCCTGCCCCACCATTCTGCTCAAAGAACTGTTTGGCCATGCAGCAAACCAGACTGGGGACATGATTCACCTGAAGTGTGCCTCCCCTGCTCCCATTTTAGGCTACTTCTCAGTCAGATCAGTTCACTGCTCAGGTTCACTGCATGATCACAGGAAGAGCTGGCATACAGAAAGGTTGGAGGTGAGAGCTGAGTGGAGGAAGGCTGAATTGCTGCTTTTGGTGGCAGTTTTAGGCTCTGCATTGTAGTAAAACATATACAAATACATCAGTAAAGGAGATTAGACAGGATTACTAGGGAATAGCAAGGCACTGCAATGGGAGATAGGTGAGATTCAGTTCAGATGACTGCAAGACAATCGTTTCTGAAAGAGAAAACAGTGTGTGCTTGTGTGTGTATGTGTGTGTGTGTATGTCTGTGTGTGGTTCTAAACGACCTGCTTAGGCAGAAGATCCCTGGTGATTGTTGGGCAACCTAACGACAGTCCTTGCTTCAGGATCAGAAATCCACTTCTCTTAACTGCTCTCTTGTGGTCAGCTCATTGAAAAAAAAAAACCAATGGATTTTGGGAAGGGAAGCACATGATTGATTAATTAATAAAGAGCTCTGCGTAAAGCAGCGTTACAAAGATTTTCTTTGTATCTAAATCTCATGGATTTAGTGTGCTTTGTCAAGGAATGGAGAGTTAATTGGGATTTTGCCTGCACAATTTCTTCTTCAGACCAAGTACTTGGTGTGTGGCTTATGCCTTCTCATACAGGTTAACAATAGCTTGGGATATCACGACTAACTGTAATTAGGGAGGTTAGTCTAATAGGTGTCCAGTCCCTTGCAGAATTCTGATCAAATCTTTGCTTTGGTCCTTCCATTAAGCCAATGAACTACTAGTTATTTAGGAATTGTTTTACTGACGTTGAGTTTTTAGCTTTTTTATTCTGTTGGGCTTTTAATTTCTCTGCTTTTTTACTGAGGGAGGATAAGGAGAGGATGTCCAAGCTTGACTACTCTTGCCATGTCCTCCCAGGCTCTGGTTTCTGCCAGGAACAAGATACTTGCTCTGCTCTGGTGTGATGACACTGGTGTGAATGCCTAGATTGTAGGAGCTTCTTGGGGTGCCCTGCATGCAACCCTCTTTGCTGCGAGCTCCTGGGTTAGTGGCATGTTCAGTGCTGAGCCTTGCAACATGAAACATGTTGGTTCCAAGGTCAGCTTAGAGGTATAACAACATATCGCGGCCAGGCCCGTGCCTGCGCTATGGATGTGACCATTGCCTTCCTTTCTGTGTGCCAAGCACTTAATAAGCAAACTTGCTGAAGCAAATCAGATGCAACTTCTGAGTCTGTTCAGTCAGGATGTTTAGCAATGCCTGCTAAAAGGAAAGCCTGCCTTCCCCTGGATTTTTGACTTATGCAGTCTCTAATGCTGTCAGTTTTGTAGGATGAGAACTACAATCTGTCCTCCATGATATTGACCCCAAACTAACTGACTTTATAAAGCAAAGTGCTTTCCTCAAAAATCTCTAGCGAAGGAACAACTACAGTGGTTTAAGAAATTTTAAATGCATGTAATTATTCCATGGTGGGGAAACTAATCACTGGGTTTAATAGTTCCTTAGCAGCCTCATTTCCAACTTCTGAACACCATTCTGAAATACCATTTCAGTTAGGCTAACACAGGGGATCAGTTGAATGTCCCTTTAAGTTAACAGATGAATCTGGAACTGTTAGATATCTCACTTGAGAAACAGTACTTTAAAATTCATTAGAGTCCTGTCAGCTGCCAATTTGCAAAGCGTTTGAGCCACAGCAGAACATTTTCATCCAGTGTGTGTATTGAATGCAGCTGCTATATGAATAGCTGCTTTATAACGATGGCTGCTATAATAGCATGTTTGTCAAAGTAAAAATGGTGCTGATCCTGAAAGGTATTTCTGTTTCACAGCCTTATCTTCTAAGCCTTTTTTAGAGCAAGAGTGAGATTTGAATTGCAGTTCCTGCCTTTAAAGGCTTCTTGAGTGCTACTAGTACAGCGCAAGTCTGATAAAAGAGTTTGAGGAATGTCTGTGATGAGTCAAGTAACCCTTTTTGTCTTTAAGAAATAAAATTGTAGCCACTACCCTGCTATCTGTCTTTACTGGCATGTGAAACTTGGGAGACTGCGATTACTGCCCCGTGGTGCTCTGTTAATGGGATATGGTAGAAGGACAAAGCAAATCTTAGATAAATAAATGCTTCCCCCCACCACCCCAAGAGAAACCCACTGAGAGCTCTAAGAGTTCCCTAATGTTTTGTGCTTTTAAGAAACTAGTGTTTGCTAGCTTTTTAAACCAAAAAATTGATGACCTCTAGAGTCATAAACTGCTCGCAGCTAAAGAAGCCAACTGACAAGTTACTGAACTTGTTTGTCAGGAGCTGATCAGCCATCCTAAAGAGTAATCTCCCTTTTCCGCTAAGACTTAACTCTGATTCTTTAGATTACACAAGGACTTTAACTGTGATGAGCTTAACTGGAAACAGAACAAAGCTGCCCTAACAGTGTAAAGGGATTAAATCACTCATCTTAGAACGACTGCTTCGATGAACGATAACGTGGGCACAGGTCACTGGAGAGAGTGGTTTCCAGGGCAGGGAGCCACCAAAGAATGTGGAGTTGTGCAATGAGGAAGGGATGCCAGACTCCCAGCGCGTGTGAAGTTCGTGTCTGTACCCGGCGCATTCTCTGCGTAGGAAGTGCTTTGATCTAGGTTACTAACAGAAATGTTTTGAAGATTTGTTGCTGAGGTTTTGTTTGTTTGGGTTTGTTTTGGTTTTGACCCCACTGTTTAATGCTGGCAGTTTCTCCCAGCGCTCACTGTCCAAATGGCTATAATTAAGAATGTGACTCGGAGCCAGCAGTAAAGATTTAAGCCCTTTTTTTGTTGTTGTTTTGTTATTATTTTTTGTGTTAAGATCTCTGACTTAATCCCTGTCGCTAATCTAGTTAAAATGGAATAAATCTCCAGATTTACTGCTGCAGCTGGAGAAAAACTTGACAGTCATGTGGCCAGGAGTGATGCCTCCTTGTGACCATTATACTAAAGAGCTCTTTGTTTCAGGCTCATGTACAGTCAGGAATGGTTCCTTCTCACCCAACTGCCCATGCTCCAATGATGCTAATGACGACACAGCCACCTGGTGGTCCCCAAGCCGCCATCGCTCAAAGTGCACTACAGCCCATTCCAGTCTCGACAACAACACATTTCCCCTATATGACGCACCCTTCAGGTGAGGAGTGTGTGCCCGGGAGACCTGCACCGTAACTGAGCCAGGTCGTAGTAGTGAAAAGAACTGTTAGAAACCAGATGTGGGGAAAAAGAACAACAAAAAAAAATACCAACCTAAAGATGTCCTTGTAGAGTGCTGAAGGCAGACTGCTGCTGCATTTGCGTTTGTACATTGCCAGCCCAAATGTGAGCCTAGATAAGCGTTACGAGATGTAGCTAATTGAGCAAAGACTTCTCTACTCCAGCTAGAGAGAAGCAAAGTGGCTAACTCTGCAGACGCTGTGGGATGAGTTCTTCCAGGTTTTGCCGTGGTTTTGCCGTGGGGGATGGACTGTGTGTGTAGCCTGTTTATAATGATCTGAGCTTTTATTAAATGAAAAGGGATCGGCCTTGAGGATACGAATGCAAACGTTGCTTGGGGGTAGAGCTGTTAGACTGAATAAAGTGACAGCTGAAGTCTAACCTTTAATTCAGAGTAACGTTCTGCAGCTTTACTTTTTTTGGGAAGAGGAGGTGCTGAATGACTTCTTTGTGCTTTAAATTTAACCTTACCTCTAGGTTTCTTTCTGACTCATTCCCAAACAGCCTCTAAACTATTGTAGCAAACTAGTTACCTTGATCTTGTTTCTTGGGGGATGTGTGAGCAGAACAAAGCTGCTTTCTGAGGGGTTAGGTAGGGAAACGAAACCGTCCGAAGGACATCTTGCTATGCAGGGTTTTGTTTGGTTCTCTAATTTAAAACAAAAAGGAATAAAAAAGAAAGAAAGAAAACTAAAAGAGACAAAGTTGAGCTCAGTAGTTGTCCTGTGACCACTTAATAGCAAACTGTTGTGTGGCTTGCCAATTTATTATTTACATTTGAACTTTTTTTTTACAGTACAAGCCCACCACCAACAGCAGTTGTAAGGCTCATCTGGAATAACTGAAAGGCTGGATACCTTTTGTAGGCCAAATACCCTCCTTCTACTGCTTCTGCCAACTGGAAGCACAGAAAACCTAGAATTTCATTTTATTTTTGTTTAAAAAAAAAAACAAACAAAAACCAAACCACCACAAAAAAACACAAAAAGGAAATTGATTTCTTGTAACATCCACTAGGAATGCTAACAGTTCATCTTGCAGTGGGAGAGATTCGGACTGAGTAGAGGCATTTAGGAACTTGTGGGCTATTCCATAATTCCATGCACTGTATCTTGAGTCCTGCAAGTGCCCCAACTCTGCTTGCTGAAAACTGGAAGTTATTTATTTTTTAATGACCCTTCAAAGTTACGAACTCATCAGCTAGCGAAAGAAGTAACAAGAGTGATTCTTGCTGCTATTCTCACTAAAAATCAAGACTTGGAGATCCCTTTTACTTCTAACTAAACTTGAAACAGGTTCAGTAAAAAAAAAAGAAAAAAAAAGAGAAAAAAAAAGAATTCTAATCGTCAAACTGATGAATTATTATTTATAAATCACGTTTGATGAGAGAATCACTATCGTGAGACAGTGATGTAACTTTTAAGTTAAGAAAACTTTTACTTTGTAGATAATATAAAATAAAAACTTAAAAAAAAAAATTAAAAAATAAAAAAAGTTTTAAAAACTGACCTGCTCAGTGTTTGTGTCTTGTTTTACCACTGCCTTACCTTAATGTCCTCTCCAGCTTTCCATCCCAAAGGGAGCGAGTGGTTTATGTAGCATCAGGTAAGCTTGGCCGGGTGTTTCTATCGCGTGTGTGCGTGTCCCACCACGGCACCAAATCCCTTGTATTTGACTTGCAGGGTGATGGCAGGAACAAGGGGAAGGTTTTGAGGTTCTGTGCAGGTTTCTTGTGCTGTTTCTTGTCCCTAAAGCCTCAGCCCTACGCTGAAGATGTCAGAGCTGGGCCTGGAGGCTTAAGATGATAAAACTACACAAGTGAGTGTTGCTGCTGGAGAAGGGAAGGAAGAAATCAGGGTAAGCATTCCTTAGCAAAATGGCCGGTAAAGGTGGGGGAAGGCTTGGAGAAAGGAGCTCACTACCACCTCCTTCAGAGTAGAGTAGTTACCGTTGCTTGTAAAGTGGTTTTCCTCACTGTGCTCTATGGTTCCATCCTCTGTTGGCCAGCCAAAAGGTAATAGAATCCCAGACTGGTTTGTGTTGGAAGGGACCTCAAAGCTCCTCCAGCTCCAACCCCTGCCACGGGCAGGGACACCTTCCACTAGAGCAGGTTGCTCCAAGCCCCTGTGTCCAACCTGGCCTTGAACACTGCCAGGGATGGGGCAGCCACAGCTTCTCTGGGCACCCTGTGCCAGCGCCTCAGCACCCTCCCAGGGAAGAACTTCTGCCTCAGAGCTCATCTCAGTCTCCCCTCTGGCAGGTTAAAGCCATTCCCCTTGTCCTGTCCCTCCAGGCCCTTGTCTAAAGCCCCTCTCCAGGTTTCCTGGAGCCCCTTTAGGCACTGGAAGATGATGCTGGATGAAGTGGATGATGATATAGCTGCACTTTGGAGGCAGGATCAGTGAACTGCACAACCTGTCATGGACAGGAGTTAACAGCACGTTGTGGTTGGGTGAAAAACATGCAGGAGAATTCCTACAGGCGCTGCAGCACCTCCTGTCTTGGTCCTTCCATGTCAGCAGTGCAGTGAAACACTGAATTCATGCTCAGGTGGGCAGCAGGGGGCATGAGACCTTCAGACTTGAGTGAAGCTGGGAAGGAGCAGCTCCCTCACACAGCCTGTCTCTTGCTTTTCCTATCTAAGGGAGGGTTCATGTCTCTTAGCGTCCAGTATCTGTTCATCAAATACAGTATCCAGGCACCTCGAGAGACTCAGACTAAAGACTAAAAGTGAGAAACAAAGTTCTAAAAACAGTTTATTAAGAGCAGATTTTTTTTATATTATGGTAAAATTGCATTATTCAAGAATAAGTTACTTGGTACAGTACATACAGAAACAATATATAGAAAAAACTACTATACAAGAAGAACTCTTCTGTGCAGGTGAAAAGTAGAACTTTCAAATCAATACACTTGTCACCCAACAAACTGTTAGCTTTAATCAAAAAAAAGAGACAGAGATGCACAGTGGCCTCCCCACTGGTAGTTGCTGGTGCAGGCTGGGTCTGTTCAGCTTGAACAAGCTTTAAATTAAGATTTGGAATAGTTAGTCAAGATTTCAAGGCTTTATATGCTTGTTAGAGTAAAACTGCATCGGTTGGATGGCAGCAGTGTTGTGGGGTCCAGAGACTTAAGAAAGGAGAAGCTTTGGCCTCACACTGGACTTCTTTGCCCCTAAATAGTTTGTGAAGGCGATGGGTGAGGCAGTGGTGGTGCCAGTGTTGGGTAACCTGCTCCGGTGCCATTCCTTGGGGACGGGATAAGGAAGGGAGGGATGGAGATATCAAGTAATGCTTTATCTCATGAACTTCCGAACCTGTCACCCATAAGGACCCACAAAAGCCACCGACTGGGAGGGTCTGTTGGCAAACTGCAAGTGGTTCCAAAGTTAAGATGGAGATGATGGGAAGTTCTGGCTGGACCCAAGTCTTGTGTTATGTGCTGATCCAGGTCCCTCTGTCACAGAGAGCGAAGGCATTGCCTGATTCACATCTTTATCACCAAAACCAACTCTCCTGAGTGCTGGCTGAAACAGGGTGTCCCGTCCTCACAGCCCTCTCCTTGGGGATGCTGTGCGAGTGGCCATCGGGTGAGCGCTCAGCCAAAGGCACCTGGAGTCACTGCCGGCTGGGGCATGGCTTTGTCATGCTGGATCCAAACTCGTGCTGTATGTGCCCACCTCAGGGCCAAGGCACAAGCTGCTCGTCACATCCCGCTTTAATTCAGCTCTAGGAAATGCTCCTTGTCCTCCATGGGAGCCCGGGAAGAGGCCGTACCTGCAGCACGCGGTCACAGGGGGCTCCTCCTTGGCTTCCCCTCTTGAACTCAATGCTGATACTTCACCAACGCCAGTAAAAGCCCATGTGGGCCCAGGAACTAAACCTGCCACGTCCATGGCTTTCCCAAGTTACTAGAAGGACATAAAAACTCCTTCGAGTTGCTTACATCCCATGGAATGGAACGGCTTAATGCTCTTTGCCCACTGCTGTCATGAAGAGGGTGGATTAAGGTAGTGCAGGCAGGAGCAGAAGGGCTGCATGTCAGGCTCTGAGCTGGGTCACAAGCCAGATGCTTTCTAGGAGAAATGGGATTTCAAACTTCTCCAGGAGCTGGGAAAATAGCCCCAAAAATCCCCTTGGATCCCGGTGCAGCTGGGATCTGACCACAGCAGGTCTGAGCTGCAGCGGAGCACAGGTCTATGGAGGGGGAGATGGTGGAGCGCGGTGGCTGGACGGCCCTTGGCTACCTCATTGAGGAGGTCTGAGATGGAAATAACTCCATTAAACCATTAGAGCCACTTTCCTCTGCTCACGAGTGTGGAGAACGGGTGTTCGCACCCACCAGGGTTTGTCTGCACTGGGGACGTGGCTGACGGGGCGATAATGAACCCATGGACCCAACATATACTTTGCTAATCAAGCACAGCAATTTCCATTGGAACTACAGAGAACCCCCTTGCAATTAAACTGCAGGTTAAAAATACCACATGCAAGTGCATGTTTAGTTGTTGGCACTGGAACAATAAGCCCCAGCGTGCCAAAACAACCCATCCCAGCAGCAGCAGCATCTGATTTCTCTTGGCAAGGGCTGCTCCGGCTGTGAATAGCATTCCCTTTTCCCAGCCCGTTCTTCCTTGCAGATGCTCTGAGCAGAGGGGTGATTGGGGTGAGACCACCTCGTCTACCGGGGAAAGACCCCCTCTGAATGCAGCTGCCTGAAGGTCAGCTCTTTGGACTCAGCAAGATGTAGCATCTGTAAGAGTCATCCAAGGAGTGCTGCTCCGGGAACCACGCACCGAGCAAGGAAAGGAGCTGACAACTTGTGCTGTGCTTCCTCTCCATCCCTGGAAATGCAAGACCATGGGGGGTTATTTATGAGCACACAGGGAGCTGACTTCCCTGGCACAAGCCAGCCCTGGCTCTATGTTCCTGCAGCCTTTGTGCTGGTGTGGGGAGGGAAACGGGATGCGGATACGGCTGAGGAGCTCCAGCTGAGGACAGGGCTGGCTTTGTTCCTCCGGCAGCTCTCTGGGTTTGGCAGCACTGGAGGTGCAATTGGCTCTTCATGCTCTGGTTTCAGCAGAGAGCGTGTGATGGCTGCGCTGCTCTGCACCAAAATATAGGATTCACCCCCTTGCACCCATTTTCAAGTTGTTTTAAACAGAGAAAGACTTTGCCTGCTCTAAATGCACAAACTGGGAGAGGGCTGGGGCTGGAGATGGGGAGGCACGAAGTGCAACTCCTAAATGGTTTCTGCAGTTGATGATACCCCATTTCTCCCAGCCCTCATCCTTTGACTACTACTTACAGAACCAGATTTGCTCTGCCCCATCCTGGCTCCTGCCTGCACCAGCTCTGCCCTTCCCAGCCCAGCACAACATCATTGTGATCTTGCCCTTCAACTCCGGGCCTTGAGCAGAGCTTGGCTTCTTGGGCTCTGCCCCTCAACCTTGGCTCCTTGGGCTCTGCCCCCCAACCTTGGCTCCTTGGGCTCTGCCTCCCAGCCAGGCTCACTGCACCAGCTTAACAGCAAAGCCCTGCCTGGAGGCTGGATCTTTGCAGGACTCCCTAAACTCAGCCCCACGTGGCTTTTCCTTCTTGTTTCTTTGCTTTCAAATTAATCCCGAACTGCGAATGCTCCTGCAGGCTCCCGCCTCGTAGCAAAGTCAAGGAAGGTAAAAATAAAGAGGCTTTCCTGTGAGGCAATTTGAAGGCAACTTTTGCATCCGAAATCCCAGGGAGCGCTGAGAAATCTGGAAGTCGAATGGCGCGAACATCCCCTCCCGCCTGTCGCAACAGCTCCAGCCCTTCCTCATTCTTAATATAACAGCAGCTCCTAAGCAGCGGTTCCTCTCTCGGCACAGCACCGGCAGGTAAAGCCTGGAACAGCAGCAGAGGTTGGGACACGGCCACGCTCCCGGCTCCGGTGATGTTCTCCTGTGCGGGAGCCTT